ATCAGTTAGACCCTGAACACGTGAGCAAGACCCAACCAGCCAAGCATGTGAAAAGAGAGATTGCTCAGTGCTATCTCAGTATCCCATTTCCAGCTGTAGCCATCTCTGATCCTTCAGAGGAAGGAGATAAAACACACACACACACACACACAGAGAATACTTTTTTGGGGAGTAAAGGGGAGAATCTCTTCCTGACCCCTGCAGGTAAGTGAAAGCCCTTAAGCATGAGATTTTAGGAACATCTGCCATGAGCCAGAAGGGACCCCCAGAGCAGCTAAACCCTGCCTCTCACAATCAAAAGTAACCTCATCATACGATCCCACTCATATATTTGTGCAGCTCTCTCTTAAAACTAATTAAGTTGTTTTTTTTCCCACCGCTCCTAGTGAAAGGCTGTTCCAGAACCTCACTCTTCCGATGGTTAGAAGCCTTCTAATTTCAAGGCTGAATTTGCTCATGTCCAGTTTATACCCATTTGTTCTTGTGCCTTTAGCTTAAAAAGCCCATCAATCTCCCTGGTGTTTAACCTCCGCCCCCCTGCGCCTCACCCTCCCGCGATGTATTTATAAAGAGCAATCCCCTCTCAGCCTTCATATTGCTAGTCTGAACAAGTCAGGCTCTTTTAATTTCCTCTCATAAGGTAGATCCTCCAGTCCTCCCCTGATCATCCTAGTAGCTTTTCTTTACACCTGTTCCAGTTTTGAATTCATCTTTCTTGAATTTGGGTAACCAGAGTTGTACAGAGTATTCCAAACGAGGTCTTACCAGTGCCTAGTACAATGACATTAATATTTCTCTATCTCTCCTGGAAATGCCTGATACATCCTGGGAGGCATTTGCCTTTATCACAGCCACATCTGATTGGTGGTTCATAGTCATCCTCTGATCAGCCAACACACCCATGTCTCTCTCCTCCTCTGTTGCATCCAACTGATGAGCCCCCAGTTTATAGCAGAAATTCTTATTATTAGACTATATGCATGACCTTGCACTTTATCCTATTAAATTTAATCCATTTTTTGGTAATTCATTCTTCAAAGTTAAATTCTTCTTGTATAATTTTCTGATTCTCCTCTGTATGGATGATGCCTCCCAACTTCGTATCATCAACAAATGTCATGAGCACACTCCTACTTTTTGTGCCAAGGCCGTTAATAAAAATATGAAATAATATGGGTCCCAAGACTGATTCTTGAAGAACTCCACTAGTAACCTCCCTCCAGTCTGATCTATCTGCACATGGGACATGAACCCGAAAATACAGAATGTTATCTTTGTTCCGTTATGAATATTTATCTATTGTCCCAGCCTCTGCACCTTTTCCATCTCTCCATTTTCCCAGTCCACTTAACACTTTAGCTGTCTATTCTGTGCTCATCAGAATGCCTCCTGCCTACCTCCTCAGTGCTTCAAATGGTTGGAGATTTCATGGCAGTCACAGTTGCTTCAGTGAGTTCCTCTACTCCAAATCATGGCTTTCTCCATGATTCTTCTGGCCACAAATAGAGACAACAGATATGATTGTGAGGAAGGACTGTCAGAAAAGGTAGAGCAGAGGGAATTCCCATTCACTGGTCAGCTTTGGCTCCATGTCAATCAGTGTAAAGATCAAAAAGGTCCAATGGGTATAGAAGGAGGACTGAGTGGTAGCAGTGGAAATTGAAAGCTCCTTGTGTGATTCTGCATATATCCAGATTCAAAACCTACTTTTAACAGTGAAGAGGTTGCTATCTCTGAAATAGCTAAAGGCCATTCAACTAGTAATCTTTTCCCCCTGTGTTTTATTATATAATTCATAGTTGTGAATTATTTGTTTTAAGGATTGCTGCAGCAAAAAATAACAAAGCGCGTCATTTTCAAAATCACTTGTACCTACAAGTATAGCAACTGTCTTTCCTTTGAATTCAATTAACCTCCCTCATTTTGCTGATAGCTCTCCATATCTCTGTTGTCATTATTACTGTTATTTTGCAGTAATCTGGAGCAAATGGCACTTTTTTTGGCAAGTATATTATACATTATAAAATCCAGAAGAAGAAATTCCTGCCCCAAAGAACTTACAGTCTAAAGGCAGGAATAGTTACAGTATAGCTAATAAACAAGGAGAAGTATGTGGATATCAGCATAAATGGGCTTTAGGGCATTATCCAACAGGTCAGTTGTTTAAACTGATCTGAAGAAGAGGGAGGGAGGATGCTTACCAAATACTGCTTTGGGTGATGTTCCAGGCATAGATGGCAGCACAACAGAAGACTGGAATGCCTGGTCAAAAAAGGGACCTTGATGGATAATCAGCACTGCTGACCAGGCCGTTAAAAGTCTGGTCGATGGTGCAGTGCAGCAGGGTTAAGGCAGGCTCCCTGCCTGCCCTGGCTCCGTGTGGCTCCCAAAAGCAGACGGCATGTCCCTGAGGCCCCTAGGCGCAGGGGAGGCCAGGGAGGCTTCGCACACAGTCTCCACCCCAAGCACCGGCTCCGCAGCTCCCATTGGCCAGCTAATGGGAGCTGTGGAGGAGGTGCATGCGAATGGAGCTCCTTGGCCGCCCCTGTGCCTAGGGTCCACAGGGACATGCCGGCCGCTTCCGGAAGCCACTTCAGGTAAGCGCCACCCGGAGCCTTCACCTTGCACTGCCTCCCGCACCCCAACCCCCTGCCCCAGTCCTGATCCATCTCCCAGAGCCTGCACCCCACACCTCCTCCCACACCCCAACCCCTGCCTCAGCCCTGAGCCCCCTCCTGCACCCAAACTCCCTCCCAGAGCCTGCATCCTACACCCCATCCTGCACTCCAAACCCCTTGGCCCCTGCCCTGAGGCCTCTCCAATCCTCCAACCCCCTCATATCCAGCCCCACCCCAGAGCCCACATCCCAACCCCCGTCCCAGCCCAGTGAAAATGAGCAAGGGTGAGCGACAGAGGGAGGGGGGGCCTTGGAGAAGGGATGGGGCAGGGCAAGGGTGTTCGGCTTTCTGTAATCAGAAAGTTGGCAGCCCTATCTATATCCCATATTATAAGATATCTGAGCCTTTGTATTACAAGTCTCTGTAACTGTAAATCACTAGACGAGAGAAACATTAACTAGTATGAAATGTTGATCTCCAACCAAAGGTGTTTCTGTCCTGCCCAACAGGGAAGACCCATCAACACTAGATGAACTATTGTGGAACATTAAACAGGACAAAAACAATTGTTGATTGCTCTCCCCAGCCCCCACTTCCCAATGAGTCATGCAAGCGAATTCCTCCCATTAGCTGAGTTTGAAGCTCAGAATGCAAGGGAGAAGGGAATAAAAACCCCTAACAAGAAGGAACTGTACCTCAATGATGCTTGCAAGCTGAAGGGCAAGGTTTTCTAGACATGAGCAAGAGAACCCTGGGGCATAGCCTGGATTAGCTCTAACAGACATATAGAGCTTGCTTATTATAAAAACTTCTATTACCTTTTGAAACTTAAGATTGTAACTTATGTGTTTGTATATGTTCACCTGCCTTAACCTTGTAAATAACACTCATTTCCTTTTCGTATTTAATAAACCTTCAGATAGTTTATTATAGAATTGGCTACAGGCATTGTCTTTGTGTGAGATCTAAAGTGCAATTGACCTGGGGTGAGTGACTGGTCCTCTGGGATGGGAAGTAACCTGAATATTGCTGTGATTCATGGTGTAAGGGACCATTTATCACAAAGGTAGGCTTACCTAGGCGGCAAGACAGATTGAAGTACCCAAGGGGACCATGTGTGACTCCATGTTAAGGCTGTTACAGTGCCTGAGGAGTTTACACTAGACAATTGGTTGGTGAAATCTAAGTATAGAACTCACAACCAATTTGGGGTTTGTGCCCTTCTTCTTAACAGTCTGCCCTGAGGTTCGTACTCAGGCTTTTGAGCCACTGCAGCACAGCTTGATCGATAGCGCTGACTCCTTCAGAGATCCTCCTTTAAGATTTTTCCCTGTTTCCCAACTTGCTGCCCAATGCACTACCACTGCCCGTCAATGACACTATTTCATTATGCTATCCCCTCACCTAGCTTCTCTCCTGGCTCAATTATAATTGGAAGGGTATGACTGGCTGTCAGAGGGTTAACAAACTGTCACTCAAACTTTCTTTAAAGGAACAGTGCTTCTACTAGTCTTCAAACCCTTAACATGTCCATTTCCATTAAAAGAATTTTAAACCTATAGTGTTCTAAGGGTTTAATTTTTTCCAGAAGTTACTCCTGTGTGTAGTTGGAATACTTGTTTGAATTTTTACTGTCAAATAGAGGTTCTCTAATGCTTTCAGTTTTCTATGGAATTATTTTCAATTTAATCCCTATTAGAATCTATTTTAAAAGGCATTGTATGGAGCTCAGAGTAATGGTTCCATTTCACATCTGTGAACATGACTTTGGAGTTCCTTGTGTGCAGCTGCAATTTGTGAAAGTGTAGTAGGGGGTGGCAGATTTAGCCATCACGTTGCCCATATGGCTGCCACAGGAGCACCGGGGTATGAAGGTCATGAACAAAGTCACGCTCTGCCGTGCCTTTGTTTGTAAAACTCCTTTGACTTAGAATACATGACCATGCAACTGCCGAGGTGCTGCAGCCCAGGTTGTCAGTGAAATACCAGTTTCATTAAGGCTTTTGAACCCTATCATGTTACACTTCAGAAGTAGTGACCAGCTTATTTAAAACAAAGAAGCTTTGACCTTTCTCCCCTTTTGAAACCAAAAACAGATGAAGCTAAAGTGACTCATTTCCGGCTTTAAACAAGCTCTAAGAAACATTTTTCCAAGTACAGTTTGTGGGCTTTTTCTTCTTTCTTTTTTTTTCTTTTCCATTCTTCTTTTGCATAAATATCTCATTCCCTTTTTGTCAAGGTCAACATATTTATTACTTATATTCATGGTGTGGTTCTTTTTTTCTTTCTAGCTTTCTTTTTTTCTTTTCTTCTCTTTTTTATCTGTGTTGTTTATAACCATGACCCTTGCTCCTCCAAGTCTTAAAACAGCTTTGCTTTCAGCAGCTAAATCTGACAAGGTCAGCATTTTTCTGTTTATTCTGAGAATAGTATTTACCCTCTGGGGTTTTTAAAAGCAATTCTGTAAAACATCACTTGGAAAAAGTTTGCAGCATTCATAGACACACAAGCTCGGTGCCCAACAAATACCAACTTTTAACTCTGACTGTGGAACTCAGGACAAAGCCAACTTTTTTTCTTCAAAGAAAAAGATGTCTGAACAATGTAACAACCTTTTCAAGAAAAGCTAACGTATTTCATTCCAAACACTTTGTCAACCTAATAGTAGTTAGTATAATCTATTTCAGCTGTGTCAAATTCACTTATAATGATACGGGACATACTATAGGATCAATTAGTTCCTAGAATATCTTTATTGTTGTGTGTACAGCTGTGGTGTTACTTTTTCTTCAAAAAGATGTGTATTGCAATGACTTTCAATCAAAATGGAAAACAATCCTGTAATCCTTAGAGTGTGCAAATGATTTCTTCCCAGATAGAACCAGTGACACAAAAGCAGAGTGTCACACATATTCTCTAAGTGATATTAAAGTTCCACAAACCATTTAAACAACTTGGACCATCTCATGGGATCTGCAGAAGAAGGTAATCCCAAAAGTGCAGATCTCCCCTGGGTATATGAAAGTGACACTTCTGTGACAGAATTTTTTTCCTCCCTTACTTCCTCTTTGTCTTGCTCAGATACGCCTCCCCTGGAACACCAAGGAGACGGAGCTCTGCTAAATTCAGGGGAGACAAGTGAGGATGGAATGAAGTGGACCAGGAGAGCTGCCACTTTTTAAAGCATTGTCCCCCTGTAGAATGTGAGGATTTCCATGCATAAATCAAGGTAGGAGATAATACAGCTTTGCAGCTATAATATCTCTCTAGGTCTCCTCCTTGCTATTACTAAACCGCAGCGGGGGGCTGAGCCAAAAGTAGTACAGCTACTGTGCTGCAGCACCTGTCTCTTCAAAATGATTCCTATATCCATTCCGAAAGTGTCTCCCCAAAATCTGTGGATCTAAGTAGGATGTGGCCCCCAAAATTCATGGCCTCTCCATCCCTCCCTCCAGAGGGAATGATTTCAGGAAAATTCTTCAAGGTGAACCTTATGGAGTTTTACTCCACCTCTTCACCTTTGTTTCAGGTTTCCCCATGGGAGGATGATCTGGCCCATTATTAGGGCTGAAATGTTCTGAGTATAGTGTGCTCATCCATCCTTTATTTGCCATTTGTGCTTGCTGTTATGATATGATAGGATATGAGATCAGTAACCAGTGTGAATTTCTGCCCAAATTTTTTGATGCTTGCTCTCAGCCTAGAGGTGAATTCTTCTGGAAAGTTTGGTAAGATGCTCTTTGATTGATTTTTGACTTATCCAAGCATGAAACAAAAATATGTTTTTATATATTTTAAGACACTTTTTCAGATGCTCTTTTTTATAACTTGTATAAGTCCAAGTCTGTCTTATTTAAGAAGTGATTGCTTTCCAAGAGGAATGCCTGCTTTGCTAAGTTTGAAAAAGGGATTAGTGGGGGAGAGGGGTAGGAGAGGGGGAATGGAGCTGTAAACAAGTTAAAACAGCATGGTGAGTATTGAGAATGAACCACTTTCCTGACTCAATCTCAGCACAAACAGAGCCTGTATGTAACTGAGAGGCCACATGATGCAGAAAAGTGAGAGAGCTGTGTGTCAGGAACTCCTGACGGTCAGTGACTTGCTGTGATAGCTCAGCAAATCACTTCAACTCTCTGCCTCAGCTTCCACATCTGCGAGATGGATATTACCTGCAGTACAGTAGTACTGTGACAAATACCTAATTATTATTCAAAGTGCTATAAAAGTGCATTTTGTTGCTATTATTATCATGAGTAATAGTGTCTCAGGGTAGGCCTACACTACAAACTTGCATTCGTGCAACTGCACCAATGCAGTTGCATCACTGTAGCGCTTCTGGTTAAGACACTCTAAGCTGACGGAAGAGACCTCTTCCGCCAGCCTAATAACTCTGCCTCCATGAGAGGCAGTAGCTATGTCAGAGAGAAGTTTTCCTACTGGTCTACATGAGGGGGGAGGGGTTAAGGTCAGTATAACAATGTTGCTCAGGAGTATGGATTTTTCACACCTCTGAGCTACATAGTTACACCAAAAGTAAGTGTGTAGCATAGATCTAGCCGAAGTATTCATCCACACAGTTGGCTGACAATTCTATTGTAATCAGTGATCATGCAGTCAAAGAAATGCACATGGAGGAAATTCACTTCTCTGTAGGGGGAAAGCACAAGGCCTGTGACCCAGTTAAGTCCTATTTATATACTTTTTAAGGACATAAGTGGTGCCTTCTGCAAAGGCCTGAATTTCATCCCTAGTGGCCAGAGTTTGAGAGATGTCCACACACCTAACTGGTTAAATGTGTGTAGAAATAGCCAATGTGCACATGCCAACAGGGTTTGAATGTACAAATTAAATTCACAATATGGTATATGGGCAAAATCTGGTGCAATATGTTCATTTGTGCAATCATTTGTCTCATACACCTGAAGGACTTGAATTGAATTAAGACACAGGCTGTGCTGCATTTATTTCAGTGTGCAATTACACACTACTTTTAAAGGAGGTTTAAAGAAACAACAACAAAAATCTTGTTAGAACAATGTTATGGTTTAGATTTAACAAGGACAAAAGTCAAAAAATTCAAAGTTATGTTTCTCACAGCACCCATAATTTGGTTTCATTGAGCATACTTGCACAGAACATTTATTTAGTCAGAAAAGTTATCACAACACATAGCAATAGAAAATATATATACACTGGAGGGCTGAGTTACATTTGCTGTGGGAACCATAACTTTGATTTTGCTAACTTCTATGGATGTAAAATCTCATGTGTAATATTGCATTAACATGATTTCACTCACTACCTCCTCATGACATTTCTTGGAATGAATATATTCTGTTGCTTTAACATTTTATATAAAAGCATGGTCTAGACATGTACATGTACCAGTGGAATTAAATCATCAATAATCACTATCTAAAATGAATTACATTGCAAAAGCACAAGCTAATGATTTATCTTTTCTTCATGGGACCGATCTCTATCAGATTGATTTATGTAGCAGCCAATCATGTTTCAGTAAACTGCAGCATGCACATGCATCTTTAAGTGATGATAAACGGTGACTGTCCATTTATTTGTACACTAAGATGGAAAAAAAGCCAGCCAAACAAAAATAACCCACCACACCAACCTAAGTATCATGCCACTCCAAAATACTTTGAGAAGCTCTTGAATGTCATACCTTCCAGGTTGAATACGTGGAAAAATTAATCTAGCCAAATGAAATCACAAGCAAAAATATATACTGGGAGGCAGTGTTACAATTTTTTCTTCATTTTTATGACACAACCTTATTTTCCCTTGCATGTTTACATTATTTGCTTTGATAGAAGGCACTTTTTTTGTACATTTACATTATTTGCTTTGATAGTAGATGCTTTTGTTGGTTGCTAGAGTGATTGACAGCTTCCTGCTGTTCTGTTTAATTGCCTTTTCTGCTGTGCAAGATTCTGTGTTTAAAAGACAGTTTCATAAATAAATGCTGTGTGTGCATGCTTGTGCGTGCACACTCGAGAATTGTAGAGGTTTCGTTTCTTTAAGTTGATTCACTTACCATTCAGATACAGCTGTCGCCATACTTATGTGTATTTTATTCCACTGTCTGGTGTGTTACATTCTGTATATTTTCTCAGCCTCTCTCCTGCTCACTGTATTGAGGTGCAACATGGTACTTGTTTGGATTAAGACACTCTATAGTGTCCCTTTCATTTCAAAGGCAGCATTGGAGAGACTGGAGACTTGTGGGTTTTTTACAGAGAAGAGTATGTTCAGAGTCCATCATTTGTTTTTGTTTTTGTTTATAAAAAGTAAGCAAAACATACACAGAGAAGAGAGAAAATGATGTCTCAGTTACAAACACTTGTAGTCTTTGTTTTGTGTGATTTATCCTTTGGACTTGTTCTTAAATGTTTTGAAGATTTTCTTCTCAGTCCTAATTAGCTGAATTGTTTTATCTCTTGCATCAAACTAGAGGATCTGCTTTTTTTGTTGTTGTTTTTTTTTTTTACTGGCAAAGGAATTTTACTTTATTTTATTGATTTACAAGGGATTGGAAACAGCACAAATAGTGTTTATAGCATGGTTGATTGCAGCTTGAATTTGAAAAGAGTTGCTGCAAACAACCAACTTGAGAACCTAATGCTTTGGTGACATCCTTACATTAAAGACAATCTGGCATAAAATTGAATTTAGTGTTTATTTTCTTGCTTGGGACTATGACTGTGTGTTCAGGGGGTAGCTTATTTTAGTAGTAGATTTATTGTGCTTTGATAAGATAAACCTAAAAAGTTTTAGGGAGTTTCTGACACAATAGGCTTATGTTTGTGACACTGACACATGAAATATATTTTTTGCACTATAAATTGGGGCTCCACACAGTCTGTACTAGTTGATGGCAAGATGGATGTCATAGAGTGGTGTTTTCATATTAGCGGGGTATGAAGAAAACACTTGTGATCTGAGACTTACGGTCTAAGAATTCTTTAGGTGCTTAAGACTTCCAGAGGATGTTGTTTTTCTTTCACAATTTAGATTCTTTATCATTACCATTCAGCTGGATAGGTAGAAGCAGACTGTTTCTCTTTAAAATGTTAATATAATCTGTTGAAATTATCCTTCTTTTTTTTATTTTTTCAAAATGGAGAAGATAAGTATAGTAGGATAGGAGACTGCCAGGTAAAAATATCCTTCATCCAATCACATTAGCAAGATTTGAAAGAGACTTAGGCAGTTTTCACTTAAAATCTGGTATTGCATTGGGGGGAAAAAATACACATGCTGCTGTATGGGTGATGACAGTAGCATAGAGGATAGGATTGCATGCTGTTTAGTTACATATTGCTGCTTACCTGCGCTGGACTTTTTTTTCCCCCACCTGCTCCTGCATTTTCTTGCATTTTTATCCTGCTCCCACCCGTAAAAGCCTTAGATTTCACAAATTCTGCAAGAGAGAGATTGCCCCTTTGTTAATATATATATATAAACAGAATTTGGACACAATTTTACCATTAAAAGAATAAAAGAAATCTTGCTTAAATCATGTAAAAAAATACTTTAACACCTGTTATAAGAGACATCACATTTCTTTCTATCCCTCACTTAAAATTAAATTAAATATTTAAACCTAAATAAAAACTTGCTTTCCACTGCTGAATTTCTATTTATGACAAATTGATGAGAGATTTAGTGTTTCCCTGAAAATTACCACAGTTTATTGTTTCTGCTCATCCAATCCCATGCGCAACAAAGTACATTTTACCCACTCCCGCTATTATGGCAGTGAGACCTGCGGGAGCCCAGTCCTGCTTCATGGCTCTACTTCATACTATATATCTACTGTACTTGTTTTACCTTACTATGAAAGTATATTGATGAAGTAAAGAGAGGACGGAGAGGAATCTGGAGTAAATAGGCAAAAGAACCCGAGAAAAGGAAAAAATACAGCACGACAGGCTCCGACATTTTAGTGTATTCCTTTTGATATGCATGCATAAATATCAGATCATATTCATAGCATATTTTGCAACATGAATTGAAAAAGATCTATTTCTTTTTTATTATTCAAAATATTTTAATACATTCCAAGATAGATTTGTATCCTGAAAAGCAGCACATACCAATTAATCCTCACTTTGTTATAACAGATCAGAATGTATGAAAGATGCTGTCAGGTTTTGGGTGTTTTTCTACCCCTCTCCCCCAAACACTTTGCATACTGTAGAGACAAATGTCACACGAAGTGGAAGCCAGTGGTGTTAGCAGAGTACAAACAGGATGTAGTATAGGCCCTGCATCACCATTAGAAAAGAGCCAATTCACAGATGCCTACTGGATAGTGAAATAAAAAAACATAATCCCAATTTTTTGCTTTGGGTATATACTGTGGAATGAAAGCATTGCTTGCAATACAGGCAAGATTATCTATGCAAACTGTGCATTAGACAGTTTCTGCCATAAGATCAGTTGGTCTTCTACCTTTCAGTCTATATGGGTTTTTGGACCACCTGGTCCAAAGCCTACTGATGTCAGTTGAAGCATTCCCACTGATGTTACTGGGCTTTGGCTCTGAAAAGAGGGTTTTTTGCCCCCAGTGGAATAAAAAGAAGGATTTTCACATGTCATTTCAATTTACCTCAAAGAGAAAAATACTTCACTTCATTAACACCATATATTTTAGTTTCCTTTTCCAATAACTCTGCTGTGTGTGCCAAGCCCCTTTCCTATGGAGTGTAGGAGAAATGTTCCCATTTGATCCTCTGCACTAAGGATGAGTAAAGAAATGATGTAATATTACTTTTCATAATAATGTGCAGAGGGTTTGGATTTTCAAAGCTATTCATGTAATTTTCCCCCTCCCCTAGTGCTCATGTCGGTAATTTGCTCATGATAGAGTTAAATTAAAAACTAGCCCATCCGAATGGGATAAAAGACTGGCAAAACTCGGGAAACTATAAACTAAACAGAAATGACAGTTATAGTCCCCTTTTACATAAAAAATTGTAAACTATTTCCTGTTGTGTCCCATTTTTCAGTTGGAATGTATTACAAGGAACACAGCTAGATTAGGGAGCTAAACTACTTTTTTTCTTTTTCTTTTTTTTTTTTTTAATTGCTACATAAATATTATGATGAACATGGAGTTTTACCAATGATGAATTTGGCCTATTAGCATCTCAGTTAAATAACTGAGCTAAGTTAATTCAACAATATAGTTTAATATGCATACACTACATGGATAATGTCATTGGAAAGGAGAAAATAATTAACCTCAGAAACCATTAATGGCCATACTCCTTTAGCTGAATCCTTTTGTATGTAGAATATAAAAACAAGAGGCTAGTTCACATTATTTATTTTTGCTCCCCATACAAAATTCTGACTCTGATAAGTCTGATGCTGGTGTAAATTGGGAGTAAATGCAATCATTGTTGTCTCATGGATGACAAGCCAATATTAGGTTCATATCTGGCCCCTTTACCATAGTATCTCAATGCCTTTCAATCTTCAATGTATTTATTCTCACACCACCCTTGTGAGATAAGAAAGTGCTATTACCCCCATTTTACAGATGAGGAACTGAGGTACAGAGGCTGAGGCCATGTCTACACTACGAGTGCTACAGCATCACAGTTATGGTGCTGTAGTTATGCCACAGTAGCGCCATAGTGTAGACACTTCCTACAGGGACAAAAAGGTTATTTCCATCACTGTAGGTAATCCACCTCCCTGAGTAGCAATAGCTAGAGCAACAGAAGCATTCTTCCATCGACTTAGCTGATTCTACACTGAGGGTTAGGTCAGCATAGCTGCAGTGCTCATAGGCTGTGAATTTTTCACACCTGGAGCAACAGAGCTACATGTAGACCAGGCTGAAGTGTCAGATTTGTAAAGGTATTTAGGTGCCTAAAGATGCAGATGGGTGCTTAGCGAGATTTTTACAAGGGCCAAGTGGCTAACTCCCAATTATTTCAAGGTCACACATGAAATGTGTGATGAAGCAGGGATTCAAACCCAAGTCCCAGGCTAGCACTGTAACTACTAGAACCATCCTTCCTCTCAGTGTAAGTGGGGTGATAAGCCCTGAAAACCGGCAGAAAGATTAAGCCTTGTTATAGTTAAAATCTCTCTCCTAATCATTGCCTCTTCCACACACCCTTGCCTCACTCTTATTTTCACATCTGGCAATACACATGTGCCATTCCTTCCTCTGCAACCATACACATTAACTATTGGCAATGCCAGTGCTTAAGTTGTGCCAGGGCTGAGCCCCCGCACCTCTAGGCTTGGCAGTTCATAGCCCTGGCACCTCTGGGTTTGCTGCATCATTTATGAAAGTAAAACATTTGCTTGAGCCCCAGCACCTACTTGTTTGATCCCCAGTCCTCCTTAATCACAAATTAAGCACTGGGTAATGCTGTGCTACAAACGCCATGTTTGGTTGGTTATTTTTTAATGGAAAACTTTTGAAAAATAGTTCTTCAAGCAAGATTTTTTTAAGCTTTCCTTCATTTGCAAGAGATCTATAATTTTTATTTACTACACTTCAGAAAACCATATTATTGTCACATCTTCTGTGCTTGAGAAGTTAGTATTGTCAATGAAATAAAGCAGTTAAGTGAAATTCACAAAACAGTTAAATGTGATTATGGCTCTCTTTAAAAGAATAAACATGTCAAGTGTCAAAAACATTGTAAGTCTGCTGTACTTCAATTTGAGTCAAAATAGACTGGGTAACATTTGTTCCTCTTCAGTGAATATCTGAAAAGAGAAAATGATACACCTGTTAAATTAACACATTTATTGTGCACCAAGGCTGTTCATTTGTACAGTAAATAAGTTAAAAACTTGAATCTCATGTAATCCACTATTCAGCCTGACTGACTGTAGAACCTCCCTAATCAAATACATCTACATGATATTGTAAGCTACATTACAGTACATTATTAGCTTGTAAAATGAAATTGCTGCAGCATTATGTATTGTACGTTTGTAGCAGTAACAAATTTACCAGTGATAGATGCACTAATGGATATGTTGTATTGCAATAAATATAAATTCAAAAAAGCAATTGGAAAGCATTAACATTTTTGTATATGAGTTTAGGCATTTATGAGGCTGAGCTAGTGAGCAGGAAAAACAGAAGAGGTCATCTTGCGAGCTGCTACTTCATTCTGTATTGTCCAGGGCAAAAGAATGGTGACTTTTTTTGCAGTAGGACTCTTATGTGTAACATAAGGGGACTTGTGACTGTTACAGAAGTTCTTTGTGTATAGCTGTCATTCCATTCTCTATTAGAAATTGCTCTGTAATTTGCAGCCTGCAGGTAACATGCAGAAGATGCACACCAATATTTTTCTGTGGCCTTTCATACTCATTTTCCCACCTCTGAACCCTTTTTCCCATTTTTCTCCTGAGTTGCTGGATGCCATCTTTACCTTTTCCTGTGCTGTCCTCAGAACTGTTGATTTGTAACAAGCAAAACCACTTTTGAGGACAAATCAAAAGTGAAGTTAACAAGATGGTGTCCCTAGCCTCTGTTTGCCAGAAGCTGGGAATGGGTGACAGGGAATGGATCACTTGATGATTACCTGTTCTTTTCATTCCCTCTGGAGCACTTGGCATTGGTCATTGTTGGAAGACAGGGTACTGGGCTAGATGGACTTTTGATCTGACCCAGTATGTTCTAAGATGTTGGCAAGTAGCAGCTAAAGCAGGCAGCAGCTAAAGAAAAGTGTTGTATACACATTTTTTTGGTCTTTGGGCATTTCAATCAAGCATCTCTGAGAAAACAGGTCCTTTGTTGTCATTTGCTTTTCCTCTCATGCAGCTGGTACACCTGCACAGACTTTTAGAACACTGCAGGGAACACCTTGTGCCAGGAAAAACAGCCAGGACAACAGGATCTGGACTGAAATGCAGGACAACAGCAACTCAGATAGCCATAGATTGGGTATCTAAAATGGGCAATTGCAGCTTGGTAAAAAAAAAAAATGGGTTGAAGGCATGTGGTGTGAAAGAGAGAGGAAGAGAAGGCCTGGAGGCATGACTTTTGGCAAAGGATGGTTGGCTGGATGGGAGAATGTTGTAAATTGTTAGTTTGTGATGTGGAGACATTGTGAAATAGGTGGAGAACCATGGGCATAGTTTTCTTGCCTGTGCAGATCTCACATCTTATGTGCTAATTTTTTGTGTGGCAGCAACAGCTGCATGTGTTCTATTGTTCAGTGATACTTTCCTCAGTAATATTTACCCTGCATTTACAGCCAATGTTTTCTCCACTCGGTACCCTTTTGTTTTCAGCATAGCAAATTGTTGAGTAGATTTTGGAATCAGATGCCACAATGGATCTATGATATCAATAGAAAGATGTCAGAATGAGGACGTAATTATATAGTTACTGGAACTGGCAGAAATACAATAAAGTGTTTGGGTATTGTAATTCAGCTTAATGTGAAGTGCTGTTACTTTGCTTGTCACCGAATAGTCTTTTAATTAATGAATCTTGATACCAGAACATGCTGCATTTGGGTAAAGACCAAAGACGCATGCCACCATTATTCTACACATGTGATGAAAATAGACATTCCTCTACTTTAGTGAAAAAAGTAGCATAGCAATTTGATGGGCTAATCAAGATCTGTAATCGCCATGGCTGAAAAGTGTTGCAACATTCTATTTCTATTATATACCCTGTCCATTCTTCAACAGTGTTCCATGAGGTGAAAGTTAGCTCATAATTTGGCCTAGTTAATGTATTCCTTCAAATGAATCATTTGACTTTAATAAATTGCCTAGACAATGATTTGTACTGTATGTATCCTATTTTTCAAACAAACCATCACTACCAAATAAAATGCTGGCTTTAGGTTTGTAAACAGACAAATTGTTTTCAAATCTACACTGACAAACAAAAACAACGAGGAGACCTTGTGGCACCTTAGAGACTAACAAATTTATTTGGGCATAAGCTTTCGTGGGCTAGAGACCACTTCATCAGATGCATGAAGTGAAAAATACAGGAGCAGGTATAAATACATGAAAGGATGGGGGTTGCTTTACCAAGTGTGAGGTCAGTCTAACAAGATAAATCAATTAACAGTAGGATATCAAGGGAGTAAAAATAACTTTTGAAGTGGTAAGAGAGTGGCCCATTACAGACAGTTGACAAGAAGGTGTGAGTAACAGTAGGGAGAAATTAGTAATGGGGAAATTAAGTTTAGGTTTTGTAATGACCCAACCACTCCCAGTCTTTATTCAGGCCCAATCTGATGGTGTCCAGTTTGAAAATTAATTCCAGTTCTACAGCTTCACATTGGAGTCCGTTTTTGAAATTTTTTTGTTGAAGAATTGCCACTTTTAGGTCTGTTATTGAGTGACCAGAGAAATTGAGTGGTCTCCTACTGGTTTTTGAATGTTATGATTCCTGATGTCAGACTTGTGTCCATTTATTCTTTTGCGTAGAGACTGTCCGGTTTGGCCCATGTACATGGCAGAGGGGCATTACTGGCACATGATGGCTATATCACATTGGTAGATGTGCAGGTAAATGAGCCCTGGATGGTGTGGCTGATGTGGTTAGGTCCTATGATGGTGTCCCTTGAATAGATATGTGGACAGAGTTGGCAGCAGGGTTTGTAGCAGGGTTTGGTTCCTGGTTGGTGTTTTTGTTGTGTGCTGTGTAGTTGCTGGTGAGTATTTGTTTCAGGTTGGGGGGGCTGTCTTATTCTTGAACATGGAAGTGGAGAGGAATATAGAAAAAAATAATAATCAGCACTTTCTTTGATGAGCAAATTATTAATATGCCTTCTATCCACTTGTAAGTCCCCATCACTTTAATATATGAGAACCTTGCAAACATTAATGAATTTATCCTCACAACACCAAGTGAGATGGGGTGGTTATCCTCATTTTTCAAATTGGAAAACAGAGGCACAGCAAGAACAAGTGACTTTCTACGGTCATGCAGGCAGTCTGTGGAAAATCTTGAGGCTGATTGGGTATATTGCAGGAGTTTCTGGGTGAAATTCTACGGCTTGTGTTATTCATGAGGTCAGATTAAATGATCATAGTGGTCCTTTCCAGTCTTAAAATCCATGACTCTCCTGAGCTGCCCAGTTCCAGCTCTGCCAAAGAATTACTGTCAATGAGTGCAGAACTGAATATTGTCTAACCTGGGCCTTGCACTTTGTAATGTTGGAGGAACTCTGCTTCACTGGCTGCTTCCAACTCTTCCTGAATTCTGCTGTCAAAGGGGAAGAAGATAATTCCTTCTCTTCTTTGTGAAGGCTAACTCTTCTTCCACCAACAATGAAGAATCTGAGCTTTTCTCTTCACTCCTAATGGTATGACTCTTTTTTTGGCACATCACCAGGTCCCGTTGGCAAATTCACACATAGGAAACTCCTTAGTCATCTCCTGATATATGGCTTTCCTGGCAAGAGCCATGACTGAGTGTGAACTGTGTCCTTTAATTTGTCTGCTCCAGTTTCATCCTGTACTTTTTTTTAAAAAATGTGACTTATAGACACCAGGGGAAGTTGTAAGAATACTTGTACGGAAGATTATATAAAAAGGTATTCAGTGATCTACAGTTACTGAAAGACTATGCTGCTTTTTAAAAAATATCAACTACAAAGTGATTTACAGAATAAAATCAATGTTTACTACCTACAGGCCCAATCCTGACATAGGCAAAACACTCACTGATTTCTGTATTAGACTCTATTTTTAAGTATTTTTTGAAAACCAAAAATCAAATTTGTTTTATTTTAGTGACACAGTGACAGAACTGACTGAAGCAAAGCGTGGTACAATTTCCTCACTATGTTCTGCCAGTTCTAGTGATGGGAAACCAGCCAAATGTTTGCACCTCCAAAGCTTATCTGATCCTTTTCAGTCTAGAAATCTGGCACAATATCTCATGAGAACAGAGTTTCTCTCAAGATTCCTTCTCGCTAATTTCCAGTTCTGACAACATCAGAAATAAGACTTTTTCAGGTATTTCTATACTTCCATGTTAAGTACTCACTAAAACTAAAAAGTACAGAGTCACAGAAATGTATAAAAATAAGTTTTTTGAATATTTTCAGTTCAGTTCAGTTTTGAATTGAGTTTTAGAAGGTTCAGGTAATTTCTTATGTTAACAACAATGGGAAAGGAGCACAAATCCAAACAGGGAAAGAACATGTTAAAAAACATTTAAGTAAGTGAGATGAATTTCATCAGGCCTGATGATTTGAATACATCATAGAGTACTTAAGAATCTAGCTGAAGCAATCTTGGTATTGTTAGCAATTATCTTTGAGAGCGCCTGGAGGCGGGTGAGATCCCAGAGAACTAGAGAAGGGCAAACATAGTATAGTAATTATCTTTAAAAAGGGCAACAAAGACGACCTGGGAAGTGATAGACCAGTCAGCCTAACTTTGATACCTGGAAAGATACTGGAACAAATTATTAATCAATTTGTAAACACCTAGAGGATAATAGGGTTATAAGGAATAGCCAGCGTAGATTTGTCAAGAACAAATCATGCCAAAACAACCTAATTTCCTTCTTCGACAAGGTTACTGGCCTAGTTGATAGGGAGGAACCAGTAGCAGTGGTGTATCTTGATTTTAGTAAGGTTTTTGTTACTGTCCCACATGACATTCCCATAAGCAAACTAGGAAAAGGCGGTCTAGATGAAATTACTATAAGGTGGGAGCACAACTGGTTGAAAGAGCATCGTCAAAAGTAGTTATCATTGGTTCGTAGTGAAAGTTTGAGAACATACTTTGTGGGATCCCACAGGGGTCAGTCCTTCATCCGGTACTATTCATTATTTTCATTAGTGATTTGGATAGTGGCATGGAGAATATGCTTATAAAATTTGTGGATGACACCAAGCTGGAAAGGGTTGAAAGCACTTTGGAAGACAGGATTAAAATTCAAAACATACTTGACAAGTTAAAGAAGTGGTCTGAAATCAACAGGATGAAATTCAATAACGACAAATGCAAAGTACTACATTTGGGAGGGGGAAATCAAATGGACAACCACAAAATGGAAAATAACTGCTAGATGGTAGTACTGCTGAAAAGGATCTGGGGGTTAGAATGGATCAAAAATTGAATGAGTCAACAATGGGATGCACTTGTGAAAAGGGCTAATATTCTGGGGTATATTAACAGGAATATTGTATGTAAGACACTGGAGATAATTGTCCCACTCTACTTGACACTGGTGAGGCCTCATCTGGAGTACTGTGTCCAATTTGCGTGCCATACTTTAGGAAAGATGTGGACAATTGGAGAGAATCCAGAGGAAAGCAATACAAAATATAAAAGGTTTAGAAAACCTGATCTTAAAGGAAAGGAAAGGTTAAATAAAACTGGGCATATTCAGAAGAAGACTGGAAGGAGCACCTGATAAGTCTTCAAATATGTTAAGGCTGTTATAAAAAGAACAGTGATTAATTGTTCTCTGTGTCCACTGAAGGTTGGACAAGGTGGGTTTAATCTGCAGCAAAGTAAATTTTGATTAGACATTAGGAAAAACTTTCTAACTATAAGAGTAGTTAAGCTCTGAATTAGGCTTCCAAGTGAGGTTATGGAATCCCCATAATTGGAAATTTTAAAGAACAGGCTGGACAAACATCTGTCAGGATGTACTAAGTTTACTTGGTCCTGCTTCAGCACCGGGGCTGGACTTGATGACATCTTGAAATCTCTTCCTGCCCTACATTTCTGTGATTCTATCATTATTTGAACTAGTTTGCCTTTCAGTAGTTAGTCAGTTTCAATATTGATACTATTATTCAAGACATATGTCTCTGCCAGTTGTGAAGAATTCTGCCAAACTATGTGGGAGACAATTAAGTCTCTAACTGTAGACCACCAAACTCATTTTCACTTATGGATTTGAACTCAGTCTTGATTCATCAATGAGATATTTTTGAAATTTCAACCTTTTAAGCAATTTTCGCATACCTTTTCATTAAAATTCTAAAGAAGATAGATAATGAATAGTTTTAGTGAGGACTATTAAATTCTTTAGGAAGAGAAAAGAAGGACTTCATAACTGTTGAACTGTGCTATTGTTTACATTTATAATGGCTTTCCTTAAATAAAAAAAATAGGTTGTTGTTATTAGAATTATTCCTCATTCATCAGTGTTTGCATTTTAAAGGATAGAAATATCAGTGAGTCGTTAAAAATTTCAAGAGTGAAAGATCTGTGCCAGTTAGTCCTTATGATCAATCTACCTTGTCTTTCTAGAGGTAAAATTCAAATACATGCCACCCTTCCATGGAAAATAAATTATTTTTAAGTGATCAACTTTTTGTGATCAGAAGTACAGTATTTCAGTCCTACAGAGCTCCTGATATTCATATGTCCCACATGCCAGTGAAGACCATAGAATCCCACATTTACCTCTTAAATTATAACACTGAAATGTAAGCTCTGTGGGGTAGGGACCATCTCTTTATCTGTTTGTATAGTGCCTACTACAATGGAGCACTGATCCATGACCAGGGCCCTTAGCTGCTACCACAATACAAATAATTAATAATAATAATAATTAATAACAATGTATCTATGCAAGGAGGACCAGCTTAATATCCCTGTTTGAATTCCAGTTGTACAGAGAAAAATGAATTAAACCTTCTTCTCTATGAAAACTAAGTTACACAGATAACTCACCAAAAATATCAGAGAGGTCATACATTCCAATTTCCTAAACAACGTACGTCTATTCCAGAAATAGATTCTGACTTGTCTTGGTTCATGAAGTTTACAGTATGTCTCTTTGGCCAGAGTGTTTAGCCAGTATTTGGGAACTTGCAGGGTTGTTTCCATTAACAGGAGAAATGGATAATGTGGTATCTCAAGGTCACGCTCACAACTGCTTCTCCAGGTTTCCTGCTGACTTTCTCCTCTAACACAAACAGGCTGCAAAATCAATATCCTAGCCCCTGCATTTGTAATCCGTGAAACCCCTCAGCCCACCTGGCATAGCTCTGATCTGCCATGTGCTTTGGGCAGTCCATCCATTGTTTGTAGCTGTCTCTACTACATAAAAGTGCTTCATTGCTCCTTCCATTAAGTCTGAAAATATGTTTGGCACACCTATGGACTTTAACTAGTTCTGTGCTTGTGTTTGGCTCAAAGGGCTTATCTTCACTACTGCTTTTGGTCAATTTAAGCTATGGGATTTGAGTTACATTAGTAGCATAACTCAAGTCAATGTAGTTTAGATCTACTTACCGTGGGGTCCTACTGTTCCATCTCTTATTCGTAAATTCTGCATTGGATGTTTAGTCAGATTACTGTTATTAGAGGATGGACACAATAAACAAATGGTGGTGTGGGTGTATGTCTATTGTTGGATGGGGATTTAAATGTATAACTATCACTAGTGCTAATGGGAATTACACTCCCAAAGCGCCTTCATGCATTAATAGGAGAATAAAACCTATGCTTTGATTTTCAGGAAAAAATACTTTTTAAAATCAAATACATGGCTTTGTAAATAAGAGTCTATAAAAGAATACATGAACCTTGTGATGGAAAAAAAGTGAAAATGGAACACACACACACACACACACACACAAAAGGAGGAATCTGACAGATGAACTGAGTCAACTGCATAGATTAGATAGGAAGAGGAAATTAGAACTAGCACAAAGTGCTGTCTAAAATGCTAACAAGCAGAGAACAAATAAAATAATGGATAACAGGAAGGGAACTGAACCAATATAAACAGTTGCAAAGGGTATTGTGGCAGGATTTCAAACTCAGAGTTTAACGAGGACAGAAACATTTAATTGTTGAGCAATAGTTTTTAAAATATGTTTTACCTCAGGAACATGATATTGATGAAGTATTCAAAAATCATGAGCCCTTTAAAATCATGGGTCTGTAGCAGTAAAGAAGGCTTTCTCTAGGAGTTCTTCCCCTATTGTTCCAGCAGGAAAGGGCAATGTTTGCTCTCTCCTCAAGGACTAGACTACAGGTCCCAACCCAAGCCTATTGGATCTCCAGGGATCCATGGGAGGTCTTATGCCTCTCCATTAGCTCAGACTAATAGTGTTTCCACCTCCACATCCCCACTCCAATCCACATGCTTCTTAGTATCACACCTTCACTGGAGCGTTTTACCGGTTTCTTCCCTCTGGTCATAGCTGCTCCTGGACCCCCTTAGGTAAAGGGTGGGTATCAGGCTCCATGAATAAGATAGTACAGCCCTAGACTGAATTATTATTTTTGAGGAATCGCCAAAGGTTTGGATGAGGATGATATGTGTCCCAACCCCAACCTGGGCTTCCTATTCCTTACCCAGGCCTCAAGTGTCTGCCATCTTCTCCAGTGTGGACCCATACAGCATCATCCGTGGGGTCTGGAAGAAGGAGAATGCTACTGCAAAGATGACTGTCATGACTACTTCCAAACAAGAGGAAGGAAAAACACATATGGACTGTCTCTCTTGTGCATGGGTCGTGGGTGAAGGATGATCCAGCCTATATAATGTAGCTCTCCATCCTGTATCTAAAAGCCTAGCTGAGAAGAAAATCTAGTGAGGACAATAAAAATACAAAGATTATGAGGGAGATATTAAAATTAGACAGTGAAAAATTAGGTGAGAGAAGGTGCCCTGAAAAATCTTCAAACAATCATACCTAGTAAGTTAGAATGACTTAAAACCCCACTACTCAACACAAATTGACCAGAATCTAACTTGTACATTAGAAAGGTCTGTGGCCCAGATCTTCAAAGGTAATTAGGCTCCTAACTTACATTAATTTCATTGATCTGGGCGTATAAGACTATTGTTGCAATAGCAGGAAGTCTGACAGAGACCACTATACATGCATTATGTGGAACTCTGGGTAGCCAAATGCTGTTTCTTATCTTCATGTAATTGAGAAAATGATGCTGAATGTTTATCTGTAAGTTTGCTCTGATTCATTTGAAACAGTTACACAACATTCTCAGCTTGTTCTCTAATAAGGCAGAAAATATATGAATATTTGTATGTTTGTGAATATAAACATATAGAGTTTACTGTTCTAGATCAGATCAATGATCCATTAATCCTTCTTCCACAGTAGTGAGTACCACATTCTTCAGACAGAGGTTTGAAGACCTTCTCTGAATGAACAATGATGCAATGACATACCATTGCCAGAAGTTTCTTCATACACCCAAGCAAGTGGTGGTTGGTTTATGTCCTGAAGAATTGTGAGTCATATCCCTTATACATTTCAATTCTAGTTTAGGGTCAAAATTTTCAAAAGTGATTAGTGATTTTGGGTTCCCAATTGAAGATACTTCAAGGGTCATGATTTTCAGAAGGCAGATGCTTTCTGTGCATCAGGCCCCTTACCGTGTCTCCATCTGTGTCCCCAAACCAGAGGCAACATGGAGGGTGGGGGGGAGGGAGAGAGCATTCGGGGTCATGTACCTCCTCTCCCAGATTTGCTGCTTGGCTTGTACTGAGCATGCTCAGTAACACTGCTGAAGCTCGCTGCCCTCACTCTACCCCCTCCCTATCGGCAGGCATCTGTCATTCTGCCAAAAACCACTATTAACTTTTGAAAATGTAAGCCAATAATATATTATCAATATACATGTCTACTCCATACATAACCTTCGGAAAGTGAGCGTGGCTTCCATTGTAGCCTCTTCCTCCTCAGTCCCTCCTTTTCTAGTTGCATATAACTTCCTCAGATAAATTGAGATTAAAGGGTGTTAGGCACCATGGCACTTTTGAAAATTCCACAGGGTGCCTAGCTGCATCTTTAGGCACCTAAATACCTTTGAAGATCTGGCTCAGAATCCTATCCCACTGAGCTCACAATAAAAAGAAAAGTGACGGGTGAAAGGTGGGGAAGAAATATAAACATGCATTATTTTAATGTTCCAGTCACAAAGTTTGAACATGTGCAAGTCAAAATGTTGAAAACCTTTTACTTAGAAATTGTTTTGTAGATCAGAAATTATCTAAGGAACAAGTCAAGTTTGAAAGAAATTGGCTTGGTAGTTCTTAAACTATGAGCATGACAGATGTTTCTCACACTGTGGAATTCTCTCTCAGATATCTTGTCTTAATGGTAAACTGGGGAATTCACTGATCTGGTTGGGACTTCTAGGTTTTACTGTAATAATAATAACAATAATAAAGTTTAGGATACCATATGTAGAAGAATTTACTGTGTGTTCGTTTTGTTTGTTCATTTTAGGAAATGCTGAAGATATTATAAAACAGTTTAGCACTCACTTCAACTTCCAAGGACTATAAACATCAAGAAACCAAACAAATTTGGAAGTCTGAGACAGCTGAAAATGTGAAGAGGACAAGATGCCACTTTCTTAACAATTCCATATTGTAAAGGAATGAGCACTGGACTGGGAACCCAGAACAATGGAATTCTAATCCTATTTCTAACACTGACATGCCTTACTGATACTTTATACTCATCTATCACTTTACAAACTTCTTAAAAAAACGATAGCATTCAACTAAGGTTTTAGTCCCTTAAATTATTTATATGTATCTCAACCTTAATTCTATTTTATCAATGTTTTTTTTGAATAAGAATACTTTCCTTAGCAAGACAGAGCAGCACTTTGTAAGGAGCATGCAATCTGACGACAATGCAATGTTGGTCCTTTTTTTTTATGTCATTATTCTGCTGTGGTGATGGTCACTGAGAAATAACTGAATGACTGAGTATGGTAAGGAAATGTTTTCAGGGATTGCTTCTTCCAACATGATTACGATGGGTCTATACTGGGCATGTACCCAGTATAGACCCATTGTAATCGTGTTGGGAGACGTACCCATTGGCCACCACCCCTTGTGCTGCCCTAACTGCCTACTACACTCCAACCATTCCTTCAGAGAAAGATGTTTCTGATCTAGGCTTCAAATTTTGCTTGGAGTTGTGGATTTTTCCTGTGGTGTGTTTCACTTTCAGGATCCCCTCTGCAATATAAATGTGATGTTTGTGCTCCACTTCGGACCTTGCATATCCACAGAGGGTGACAGAGAATTTAACTCTACCTGAAATTTTCCACTGAAAATAGCTGTAAATACAGCATTAAGACTAAAAAATATTCCATGAGTTTTATGAAGGATGGAGAGGAAGAATGGTTTTGTGAATAGGGCATGAGACCTGGTTCAGTTCCTGACACAGACTTCCGATGTGACCTTGAGTGAGTCACTCAATCTATCCAGTGCCTTTGTTCCTTATCTATAAAAGGATGATAGTACTTCCCTACCTTAAAGGAATGTTGTGAGGATAAAATCAATGAACAATTGTGAGGTGCTTCAATACTATGGGGATGAGGTCCACATAAGAACCTACGTAGTGAAATAGAATTGGAACAGTTTCAACTTTCAGCAGACCCAGTGAGGGCCAGCTGGTTTATTTGACATACCTGGTAATGGGATCTGGTACAAATGGAACATTTTAAAAAAAAAATCTTAAATCTTTGGGAGCTCTGGGTCTTGTTTTAGCCTGTAACTAACTCCAGTTGCAGGAAGTGTACAGTGAAAGATCAAAGTAAGAAACACTAAGTAAGCTTGTTGAAATGAAGTGTTACTGGCATATGTTCTTCATCTCACGAGATCATTGACTGCGTGCTTTAACAGCTGGGATAGAAGACAAATGTTTTAGGCAGATTCAACAGAAAAGCCTGTACTTTATTCAGTCAGCACAGAGCTTACCTCTTATTGAAAGACAGTAGCAATTCTGAGGATGCATTTTTACAGGACCAGCAATATAAATAGTTTACTCCCAAAAACTATTTTTATAGGCCATATTTTATCAATTATATTGGGGAGATGAGAAGCTGCACAGTTCCAGAAGAAGCTCCAGGAACCACGATCCCTTCCCTATTCACTCGCATGAATGGAAACTTGTGTGGTGCACCATGCTTTGGCCACAGCCAGCCTATTCTGTGAGGTACTGTTGGGGCCATGGTCCTGCATTTTTCCTGGCCCCTTTGAGCCCCTAGGGATATATGGAGGGAGCAATTGCAGAGAGTGCAATTGTCCTTAGCCTTGTAGAGAGTGCAACCACATCAGCCCAACCCCGCACATCTGCATTATGTCTACTGACAAGCTGGCTCGGTGTTAACATACTTGATGCATCCCAGTGAATGTAGTCACCAGTTCCACTAGTGATTATCTGATCTGAAATAAAAACAAATTAGGCTGATCCATGCTCAAATTTAAATTGATAATTAGTCTCCTTAATCATGAAAGACAGCATGGTTTAGTGGATTAGGCCTGGGAGTTAGGAAACTTGGGTTCTATTTCTGATTTTGCCACTGACTTCCTATATGACCTCAGACAAGTAACTTCACTTCTGTTTCCTTGCTCACCTTGTGTCTGTCTTGGCTATTTAGAGTGTAAGCACTTCATTAGAAGGGACAGTCTTCCACTAGGGGCTTTTCGATACACAGTTTTTGTACCACTTTAACTAAATTAGGTTTTTTTAAATGATTTAATTCAATCAGGGCACCTTTCTAATCAGGCTGCACTTGTTCTGGTATCAAGGTTTTTTATATTGTTATAGCTTGTTGCAGTAAATGGCATTTAAATATGTTTGTACAGTGCCTAGCACAATAATGCCCTATATCAGCAAGGCCCATAAGTGCTACTGTAATATACATAATTGCTAACAGTATCCATTAATCACTATCATGCAGTGACATTTAGAGGGGTGTGTGTGTTATAATATAGAGCTGCTTTTGCGTTTGTATTTTTTTCTGGACTTTACTATCTTGGAAATACAGTGCAATGGCAGGAAGGATTTTAAAGTGCAAATGCCTGTATTTTGTATGGTTAATTTCTGTACACTGTGAAATCCCCAGTTAGAAGCCATACTACTGATTGGGGCTTTAATATAAACGTACAGGTGAATATAAAGAAGGTTAGATAAGACAGAAATTGTGGAAGCAAATACAGTCCAGGTATTTAGAAGATCAGAGAGTAGCTCATGCTGTGTTGTAATATCTTTCTGACTTTTTTGCGGATCCTCCAGACTATTATTTGACAGCTTAGCTTCTCACCAAGTAATATTAATCACTTCTTAATCAAGGTTAACTGGTTTTCCACTTAAGACTAAAGAGAACTGTTTAACAATGTAGCATTTTCAGAAATGGTTGAACAATTCTTTGGTGGAAGCTGTAGGGGTGAATCTTTATTTATCTAAAGAATTAGAATGTTTTCTGCAAGCAAGGAACATTTCCTATCCCCAAATTCCAACCCTTCCGAGCCTGCCTGAAATTAAAATCTAATCACTGAGACTCAGCACACTAAGTACTTTCATTTCAGGCTGAATGCATTGCAACATGTAAATTTGAGGAGAGTTTTATTTAAATGAAGTCTAAATCCTAGTTTAAAAACAATTCTGTTACCATAGCTAATTGCTGCATGTGACTAGCGCTGTTAGTTTGTTCTTTATGTCTTTTGGTTTGGCCTCTCACTGTACAGTTTGTGATTTGGCAGTACTGTACCTACAGTGCTGCCAACAAATCAGCCCCATTTACTTCTTGATTTTTGAAGTGAATCTGTATTTAGTGAATTTCTAGAAGAAATCTAATCATTTTCATGTCCCTAAGAGCTACTTTGCCAGTAGTGGTTGTATGAAAACGTCTGCACCTCCAAAACTAGGTAACTTTATAACTTGCAAATAGCAGAAATGCTAATGTCTGTTTTCTACATTTGCATATTTTCAAAGCATATGTTTATAAAGCAATATTTGTATCAGATATTTGCTCACTGACATTTTAGCACCTAACACACAGTTTATTGTATCCTTCCTCTTCAAATGTTATAAGTAATACACAATATTCTATGTTATCTTTTCTCGCCTGTTCAATTGTTGTTCCTCTATGTTTGTTATAATTGATGGATAGTGCAGAATATGTTTTGATGCTAAGGCTGTTCCCTTCCTCATTGTGTTTGTGTGTATATATATCATATCGATGGAACTATGCTTATTTACATCAGTTGAGAATTTGGCCCAAACACACACACACAGAAATTGGTTAAATGTTGGGGCCTGAGACAGTTATTCAGTTGGTAAAACTAAAAATGGATGGCATCTGTTTACATGAAGCCAAAGGAAAATGCAGAAATCAGATAAACAAGCTACTGTATAAGCTTCTCAACAGTGGCGCTGGAACGGGGGGGGGAGGGGTTTGGCAGTGGACCCTTCCCCTCCTCTTCCCCCCGAGACCCCACCCCCACGGCCAGGCCAGCGTTGAACCCGTCCGGGGATGGGAGCCCAGGCAGTTGTGGGAGCAACGTGTGTGGACTCTCCAGCTGCCCGCGGTATGGGGGGCCCAAGAGCAGCCCCTGGCCCATATCCTTGCCCCCTAGGCTCCCTGCCTGGTCCAGGGCAGTGGAGGGTCCGTGACTCTGTGCCAGCTCTCCACAGCTGCCCACATGCCTCTGTCCTGGGTGGGAGAAGGGCGGCCTTCAGAGCTGCAGCCTGGTCACGGTAAGATCCACGCGGGCAGCTGTGGGGAGCCATGGAGCCTCCACCTGTCCTGGGCAGGGCACCCGGGGGGGCAGGGACACTGGCTGGGGTCTGTTCTCCTCAGGCCCACCACACCACAGGCAGGTGGAGGGTCCACTGCAGCTCCCCACAGCTGCCAGTGTGGCTTTTACCATGGCCAGGCTGCAGGTCCCAGCCCCCGACCCCAGCTGGAGCCGGGTTGAGCTGCAAGGGCAGCTGTGGGGAGGCACAGTGGACCCTCCACCTCACCTGCCCTGGGCTAGGCGGGGAGCCCTGGGGGCAGGGACATGGGCAGGGTGCTACTTTTCGCCCCCCCCCCCCCCACCCACACACACACACCTCTAGCGGGGGTTGGGAGCTCCTTGTCCCCACTCCAGCTTCTGGCTTGGCCAGGGGCAGGATCAGGGGGGAGGGCCTTGATGGAGTGCGGGCCCTTGGCCCCCCTACTATTGTGAAGGCTCCAACACCGATACTTCTCAATACACACACATCAGTACTTCAATCTTTGAGAGGTAGCTATTCTCTTTTAAATTAATGGTACTCAAGATTCCTGACTTATTTCTGAAGGTGTGTTATGCAGAGGCTGATATTTTTTGCCAGACTTTGATGAGTTGCTTACTGGTGATTTCCTGTTTCCTTTACTTTTATGAAAAATACAGAATAATTTTAATACTGTGTGAGGTGAACATAATTTTTTCACAGCTAATTTTTTAACAAAGCCAAACTAAAATAAAATTTGTTCTTTAAATACACAAAAAGTTATTTGAATCCATTTAATTCTAAATACTGCCTATACCTTATTTTTTCATTATGGTGAAAAGCACGAAGTGACTTCTACAACATTAAATGACTAATGAATTCAATTTTATAGCAATTACATTTGTTGATTTTCATCTCAATATCTATGTTAATCTATACAACATTTTAAAAAGATCATTTCCACCTCCCATTAAATACAGAGTGTATTTCAAGCCACTTACATCCTAAAACAATGTTTATAGGTGTAGAAAACACACTGTTAATTTAATCTCTGTTTACAAACTGCTAAATGAAAGCCCCGAGTGTGTGTATTCTGTTTTCTGTCTCATGACAACATGATGCTAGCTCTTCTTGTTAATGGCTTCTATCTGTGGGAGAGAAAATAATCTGAAAAGCTTTTGACAAAGTAGAGCAAAGTACTTCAGACAAACCCACAGATGACTGCTTGGTCCACCCTGTAAGAAAATAAAGCTTGCCCACAAAGAGTTCTCCAACCATCCAAGAAAGACAGATAATCTTTGTTGAGGTTTCAGTAATCCAAAGAATCGAAAGAACATTCTGCAAGGGACAACAGGATGGTGTGCTGCCTTCCTGGAGCCAAGATACAAGACATTATTCTGAGATTGGGTAGACTTCTGAAGTTGACGGAATCCAGTGGTGATGGGTCATATCTGTAGTAAAGACACTGCATCACAGGATATGTTGCAGATAAGAGATGACTTCAAGAAAACTTGAAAGTGTGCTGAGGAAAAGAACATCCAAGTGATCTTCTCAGGGATTCTTCCTGTCCATGGGTGAAAGAAGGCATAAGATTCTGGAAGTGAACCACTGGCTAGGTATGTGGTGTAGGGTGGACAGTTTTGGTTTTGTAGAATATTGGTCCACCTTCTATGGGGAGAGGGGTCTGTATAGTTTGGATGGCATCCCACCTAAGTAGAAGGAGAGCTAATCTCCTCAGGGATAGGCTGGCTAAACTAGTCAGAAGAGTATTAAACTAATAACAAAAAAGTAGAGGATAAAGAGATGGACAATATGAGCACTCACTTCACACAAAATTGAAATGGTAAGAACACAATTAATCTAGGAACTAAAGGACATGAAGCAATGAAATTCTTTAATTGCCAATGCTAGGAGTCTGGGTAACAAATAAAAGGAACTGGAATTGCTCATTTAGTACTACACATTTGATCCAGTTGTTATTACTGAAAGATGATTTGCATGACTGGAATATTAAAATCATAGGTTGTAACATATTTAGGAAGGATTAAGTGAGCAAAAGGGGAGGGGGAGTGGCACTGTATGTCAAAAATGGCATTACCTGTTTCCAAGTTACTGATAACTCAGAAGAAAGTGATCTTGAATGCTTATGGATCAATATCGTAACAGATAAAGCACAAGATGGGGGTATTAGTTGGTGTCTATTGCAGACCATTTAATCACACTGGGGAACAACTCCTTATGCACCTATGTTTAATGTGTAACAAAAAGAGCTCTGTGATCATGGAGACTTCAATTTGCTGGTTGTCTCATGCTGCCAGCACTAAAACATCCTTGGAATTTCTAAATTGTATACATGACAATTTCTTAACTCAAAACATTTTGCTTCCAACATGGAGGAATTCTATATTAGACCTCATCTTGACAGATAAAAAGGAACTGCTCAGAGACCTTAACATTAATGGTAGCTTAGGTACAAGTGATCATGATTTGATCACATTTATAATGTACAAACAGAATAATGTCCAGGCCAGTAATATATATACTTGGTGCTTTAAAAGGTCCAATTTCACAAAGCAGAAAGCAATTAAATTGTTAGCAAATCAGTTGGGAGGTAGAATTTAGTCAGAAAATTGGGAATGATAATTGGGACTTGTTTAAGAACACTTTACTAGATGCACAAAAAGCCACAACCCCACAATCGAGAAAGAGGGCCCTAATGGTTAAAAAAACTGTCCTGGTTTAGACAGGAGCTGAAGGCAGCTATAAAAAAAATGTAATACATGTATTTTTAAGTATATTAGGAACAAAAAGAATCCTAACAATGGTAATGGTCCATTACAAGATGAAAATGGTAGAATTATCAATAATAATGCAGAGAAGGCAGTGCTCAATAAATATTTGTGCTCTGTATTTGGGGGAAAAACAGATGATGTAGTCATATAATAATGACTATTCTTCCCATTCCATTAGTATCTCAAAAGAATGTTAAATAGCAGTTGCTAAAATTAGGCATTTTAAAATCAGCTAGTCCAGATAACTTGCATCCAAGGGTTTTAAAGGAGTTGGCTGGACCATTAATGTTGATTTGTAATAAATCCTGGAGCACTGGGGAAGTTCCAGAAGACTTGAAGAAATCTAATGTTGTGCCACTATTTAAAAAGGGTAAGATGGATGACCCAACAAATTATAAGCCTGTCAGTCTGACATGGATCCCTGGCAAGATAATGGAGTAGCTGATATAGGACTCAATTAATAAAGAATTAAAGGAGGGTAATATAATTAATGCCAATCAACATGGGTTTATGGAAACTAGATCCTGTCAAACTAACTTGATATCTTTTTTTTAATGAGATTACAAGTTTGGCTGATAAAGGTAATAGTATTGATATAATATATTTAGACTTCTGGGAAGGTATTCAACTTGTTACCACATGACATTTTGATTAAAAAATTAAAATGATATAAAATTAACATGGCACACATTAAAGGGATTAAAAGCTGGTTAACGGATAGGTCTCAATATGTAATTGTGTACCGAGAATCATCATCAACTGGGTGGGGTCCTGAAGGGAGTGGCTCTTGGCCCTGTGCTATTTAACATTTTTATTAATGACCTGGTAGAAAACATAAATTCTTTACTGATAAACTTTGCAGCTGACCTAAAAATTGGGGGAGTGGTAAATAATGAAGAGAACAGGTCACTGATACAGAGCAGATCACTTGGTAAGCTGTTTTAATATGGCTAAATGTAAATGTATACATCGAGGAACAAAGAATATAGGCCATACTTAAAGGATGGAGGACTCTATCCTGAAAAGCAGTGACGGCCACGGTGGATAATAAGCTGAACATAAGCTCCTAATACGACACTGGCTACAAGGGTATTGTGATCCCTGTGTGCATAAACCGGGGAATCTCTAGTAGGAGTACAGATGTTGTTTTATTTCTGTATTTGGCACTGGTGCTAATGTTGATGGAATACTGTATTCAGGTCTGGTGTCCAGAATGATGTTTATAAATTGGAGAGGGTTCAGAGAAGAGCTTTGAGAATGATGAAAGGATAATAAAACATGCCTTATAGTGATAGACCCAAGGAACTGAATCTATTTAGCATAACAAAGAGAAGGTTAATGGGTGACTTGATTATAATCTGTAAGTATCTACATGGGGAACAAGTATTTGATAATGGGCTGTTAATCTAGAGAGAAACGATAGCTCAGTGTAACATGATCTGATGACTGGAAGTTGATGCTAGACAAAATCAGACTGGAAATAAAGTGTGACTTTTTAACATTGAGGTAACTGACAAATGGAAAAATTTACCAAAGGTCATGGTGGATTCTCCATCATTAGCAATTAT